CCCCCCGCAAGGGGGCGAAACCCACTGCAACCACGCATATACTTTTCCACCCACACAATACCCAACAACTAACCTATACTGTAAGAAGGGTGTAAACAAAGCATCGATTGAATGATATTGGTATTGTATCGTGCTTTCGTATTGTAGAAAATAGAAATTTTAATGCTTCATAACTTTTGAACGGATCGTGACCACCACTTTTCCGGCGTTCTAAAATACGATAACTGCTAATTCTAGACCAAAATGGAAACTCCATGTAAATTTTGAGGCCAATCGGAAGTAAAAACCCTAATATATTTACCAAAAAACCTAAAACTGAAGAGAAATGCGACAGTTTTGGAGCACCTTGGATAATAATTAAAAAATATATCGGAAACGAACAAAGGTGTACACAGGATGGTTCAGTTTCTGTATGTTCATATTTTATATCTTTCGAATATGCTCGGCAAAATTTAGTATTAGCATTAGAATATTACACGCTTACATAGATTATTAAAATAAATAAATATTTTTAACAAATACTCTTTTGTATCTTTATTTTTACGCTGAAATCGATATAAATAAAAGAGACAATATATACTATGTATATTTTCAGTTTAGCAAACTAGCTGGATCCATAAAGTTACTGGCGATATATTTTTCACAGTCCTAGTCTGAACCACCCTTGTAATTACGAAATCTATACTCGATAGAGGGGACGAGAATTCCCCTTTTGCGCACGTTCGCGAAGCGCCTCGCCGTCTCTCAGAGCGCGTCGATGCGTCGTCTTACAAATTCCTCCTCGCGCGAGCAAATACTCGTTCGCGTAGTCGTTCCGTTCTCCCCCGATCGATCTTTCTTTTTCTTTCCTTTCTGATCATTTTTTTACTTCATCTCTCGCGATTCTAAGATCGCAGGCATTAAATTCCGTTGTTCCCCTTCCCTTCCCCCTGAAGAGCAAACCTTCTCCTCTCGTTCATCACGGTGCGCGTAAAATGATCCTCTTTACCCGCTTCTTTACACGCTCGGATTGCAACATGCCACCGAAGAATCGTCGTCTCCGTGTGGCGCCAGAGCTACATAAAATACTACTTCGAAAACATCGCACGTTTCTGCCCCCGTCCTGCCGACGTAACCTGCAATACGTCGTTCCCATTTCCCTGTACAACCCCCTCGAAGCTTTTCTGTCCTTTCCTTGCGACTTGGAGATCCCGTAGAAGGTTGTCTCACCGGTGTAAATCTTGTGCAAAACGGAATCGGCGCACCCACTAAGAGCACGCTTAACCAGTCAAGTGGCGTTCGTCAATATGTCAATTACTATCAAAAAAACTGCGGCAGAAATAAGGATAAGATACGCAAAACTTGGTCTTTTGATAGTCTCACGGTTGGATAAATTAGAAGCAGAAATCTCGGGAAGTAAAAATATTAATTCGAAAAGATTTATGTGTCTAGTCAGTCCTCCTGACTCAAGCTCGATCGGTCGAAGCTATACAAACGGTCGAGTCTGTTGAAAGCAGATTTTGGCAAGTATCTGCTACAAATTTTGTCGGCAGAAAGACTACAGTTTTGATCCCGGTTCTGATATATCACATGATGCCAACAGAACGCTAACAAAAGATAACAGAATCTGCTAAAATAATGACAGCAGATTAGCGACAAAAATCGAGCAGATCCTGCCGGAACCGTTCAGGCTCACCGCGATTTCTGATGCTAATAATCTGCTCACATTGCAGTCAGTAGGCTTTGTCTGGGCGATTTCTACTGCCAGTCTGCTGTCTGATTATGTTAGCAGACTGCTGACAGAACATAAGCTGAATGCGGACCGAGTTGGTGTCAATCTGCTAACATGTCTAATCAAATCTGCTACCAATCTGTCGACAGACTGCTATTATTTTGCTTACGGGGTACGTACTCAATTGTTTCGTACTTGGTACTACTACTTTTTCACGTCTACTTCACGGTCTACTAGTTGGTTCTCGACAGCGCAAATCACGTGGATCGAAAGGAATCGATCAGGATCGAGGTATTCGCCACTTGACCGGTTAACAATCGAAATAGTACTTTGCCCACCTCTCTCTGGCGCGACTCCTTTTTCTCTTTGCTGCCATTTTCTTTTTTCTTTTTCTCTCTTTTTTTTAAAACAATTCGAGGTGGAACTCCAAGCGAGCAGTGGCGCCCGTTTTGCCGTATAGTAGCGCGCAACGATTCGTCGATGAAAATCGTTCCTAGTTTACAAGACAAAGACAGGAGGGATTCGGGGATTCGAGAGTCGAGAAGATTATGAGGAACTAAACGAGGAGGTTGCAGGAGGGCCGCTACATAAGATTCGGTTCACGGAAAGGTAGAGGGACGGTGCACCGACACGGGATCTCGAGGACGATCGAGAGAGGATCGAGGGATCGATGCACAAATAAAAGAGAGAATAAATGCTGAAAGAGATAGACTCACCTCCTCACATAACGCCAGCATACGCCTCGTGCTTTCCAGAGACTGAAACAAAGCCGATCATGCCGGTTACTACATCAGTGTGACGCGAGGAATTGCGGATGTACTGATTAAAATTTTAATTTCTTCGAAGAAACTGTAACTTGGCTATTTCATCTTCATTACATTCGCTATGTTACATTATTTCCTAAGAAAAAGCGGAAGTATGATTTTTTCCGGATTCCAACGCCCGCCGCGCCGATAATTTTTGTACTTCGCGGATATAATTTATTTGAAAAAATCAATTTCATCATGCTATTAATATACCAATTCTCAAAATTTATCAAAGTCTAAGGATTCTTTTAATTAACAAAGATGACATTGATAATAACATCAATAAAACATGCGCTAACGGTTTCGTGAATAAATTGCTTATTTTATTTTGATTATCCTAAACTAACAATACATAAACAAGTTACGGTAAGCTCGTATTCAAGAGGCTAAATAACGTCTCAGATTTGCAGAAAATTGTAAAAGGGTTGCCGGATGTTTCTATTCGACAAGTTTCCGACAGCGCTGATATGCAGGAGAGAACTTTGTGCTGATTGTTGCCTTTCTATTGTTGCGGATAAACACGAGAGTTCATCCTCGCGCGCGACTATACTCCAAGTTTCGACGAAATTGCGTCGGTTTCAGCCCCCGCGTCGTAAATCCTCGTGACTGTCACATCGCGCGACATGTATATACATATACGCACAGATATATACATATATTCTATATATATCTTAACTCACTTCATCCGTAACCTGGCCGGCCTTGAGTTGTAACTCCTGCAGTTCGGTGCGAGGCGGGCCACCCTCAGGGGCCGCACCCGCCACTGACGTCGGTGCAGGCATCGCCGGCTGGTGGTCTGACGCTTGATGGGGCTAGATGCTGGGATGACAGTCCTCTTCTTTTCGGCGAATCTTCCCGCCTGCCGGCGACGGTGCGACGCCTGCTTTCTGGTTACCGGGACCGGGACGGCGAGTTTACCGCAGCCTGCAACACACAACCAGCAAACGCGAGATCAGACTCGTTAGTTCCGTGGGCGGAGAGAGCGACGCGGTTGCTCGAAGTTTGAATTCCTACGTGGATACGCGGTGCGCGGTATCGAACATGACGTTCGCCAGGACCTGGCGAAACGGAAACGCCGTCCTCACGTCCACCCAGAGAGAGACCACCCGCTCTCTCCTCTGGGACGACGAGGAGCAGGGTGGAAAGGACAATGTCACGTTGAACAACCACCGTCTGCAAGGAACCTTTCCCTTCGGCGACCGCGCGACGGCGAAACCGGTGCGCAGGCGGTAACGAGCAAGCGAACGAGCAAACCTGAGATGTCTCGTTTCTCGTGCTCGATCGAGACCACGAAGAGTACCCCTCGCGAGATAGCCGGAGAGTAGCACTCGACGACGACGATGCCGGGGAGAGACTTTGCGGAATTCCGCGGGCGGAATGACAGCCGCGCCGCGGTGTGCCGGTTGTCGCGGCGAATGTATGTGTAAGTTTACGTGTGTGTATATGTGCGGTCAGCGCGTGTGCGCACACTTACACACGACAACGTAGAAAATCAATACCCCCGACCGACCGACCCACCCACCGACGATGGCGTCAGGACGCGCAGACGCGGCGCGACGTCTCCGTCGTCACCATCGGCATTCGTTCGGTTTCGTCTATTCTCTTCGGCTGACTCCCTCAACACCGACGTGGCCGGCGCGACCAGGACAAACGATCAGCTGGTCGGTCGGACTAGGTGTGGGCAGGTCAAGAAACAGAAACGCGTTTCCCGCCGCAAATCGTCGTTAGAGCGGGATAAAAGAGCATTTGTAATGAGAAACTTTTTAGATGGAAGATTTGAGCAAGGGACAGAAAGTTTCTGCTGCTCTTTTTGACGAAATAAGAAATGCTTAATATTAAAATATTTAAAATATCAAATATTTGAAGCTTTAAATTTGAATCCTTGTATGATATATGTCTCCTTTTTCTTTTTTTCAGTTTTTTCAATCTTGACATTCACTTGTAGCAAATATTAATTTTAATTCTTGTTTGCATGACTTTAAATAATTTTGCATTAAACACTCAAAAAATAGCCTTGGGATTCTTCTAAAAATTATCTGGAAAAAAATTGATCGAAAATATAAAAATGGAAAAAAATTTATATTACGAGATCACAAAGACCTTTCTTACGTATTCAAGGTTTTAAAAATGATTGCAAATGGAAACAGTTAATATATCCAAGTATTAGAATAAATAATTAAGTCGAATACGGGCACGCATGGTCGGACTGGCCAATAACTATTCCAGCGAGAGGTGTAAGTAACGACTATAGCCTCGTAGACCTCAGAGAATTCCCGGGGGACCGTTGAAAATCGGAGGATTCGTATTGTCTGAAGCGAACATGAACGAGCTGTATCTTAGGAAAATGCTTGCGAAATATTTGCGATCAGAAGCCACCCGCTAATTCGTGATCTTGAATCTATCTATAGTAGTCCATAATTCTGGACATTGTCTTGACGTGTGTCAGCGTTTATCACCTTCCTTCTCCATTAAGAAAAAGAAAGATAGTATAAACTGGTGGCAAAGGAAAGTGAACGCCGGTACACGCCAAGTCAATACCCACAATTATAAAACTTGGATTAGTAAGCACAGATCTAGGATAACTGCGTCGCGATGCAAACAATCTCGAGATTTTGCGAGCGTGGGCGAGACGTATTATTCACGAAATATGTAAATGTATCGTTAAAAGGACGGGGCAAAGAATGAAAATATAATGGCGATGCAATAGCTAATGTGATAGTACCTATACCAGGAACAACGTAACGCATGGCGGCGTGATCTATTGGCCGCCTTTGTCCTTGCCCTCGAGGAAGTTGGCAGGTTTCCAGGGTAAAAGATACCTCGCCATTGCACCGATCTCGGGCGTCGCTCGCCAAGATCACGGACAATATGATTGGAAAATCCGGATGGGATCAGCTCGTCGTGATGACCGCTAAAGCCGGTTAGGCAAATGCATTTAGGTTAGGTAAATGCACGATAATGAAATTGGCTTCTTATGGGAAAAAAGGCACAAACAAATCATAAATGTATTCGAAACAACAATCTTAATTTGTAATAACACTGTAATGTTAAAATAATGTTTTTCATTTTCTTTAGTAAAAAAAAAAAAACATTTTCCAGAGTATGCTAACTTAACATGAAGAGAGAAGGAATGCATTTTCTCTTCTTAACAATGATATCTCTAAAAATTTCCCGAATCTTTAAAGAATTTTTATGTATTATAGACATTTTTACCTTTGTAAGCATCTTTAGGCAATTTACTTCATTTCTCCCTAAGTTATTTAAAGCTTGCAATTACTCACGTTGGGGAAAAATAAAAAACAACAAGATCTTTTTATCTCGTTTCTCCAAATACAAATATTTCATGAATTATGTATTATGATAACAAACAAACAAATGCAGACGTAGCAAATGAGGTCAACAGGCTCCGAAGTTTTCCGTTACCCGCGAGAAAAAAAGGAAAATTTTATGCAACTCTACGATTCTCAACGAGAGAGATAAGCGGGGAGCACACACTTCTGCACAACGCATAATGCGTAAGCATAAGAAAATTGATTGGTCCATACACATGTGCATAAGGAAATCATAGCATAGACCAATCAATTTTCTTATGCTTAAGCATTATGCGTTGTGCAGAAGTGTGTGCTCCCCGCTATAATCTTCTAAGGGTTATGCAACCGTAATTGACGCGTGATCGTGGCGTCACGATACGACGACGACGTCAGTCGTGTATCCACCCACGACCTGGGTCATAGAAACACGCAAGTGGGTGGTGGAGGATACGCTAAATGACACGTGTGCGGTCGATCGTGCCGCAGCGTGTCACGACGCGACGATGCGGCGATCTGAATGCACTTGCATCAGTTTGTTGCACACGTTGTAACCCGTTTTATACTCGGAGTGGGAAAAGAGAAAAAGTGGCTTCGTCGAAACGCATACACGAGATAAAACTCGCGATAAAATGAGAGAAATAAAATTCGATTGCTTTGTGTATCCGACTCATTTGACTCCAAAAAAAAAAATAAAAAACAGAAAGATTTATAAGGTTGATTCACACTATACGGACCGTCACATTCTGGCAACGAAACGTACCGGCACCGGCACGACAAATTTTACGTATATTCAGATGCTTTGGCAATCGACCGTCAGTTTTATAACAACCACAAAATGGATGGATCATCTAGCAATGATGAATTGGCTATTATGGCCTTACTTTTAAACGAAGATAAAGGCAAAGTAAAAAAAATGAAGAAAAAGAATCGAAAATGGGTACATCCTATATTAAAACAAAGAAAACTTGAAGGAGAGCATTGGACAATATTTTAAAATTTATTAAGGTGATGCTGGAGCCGTCTGTTTTACCACGTATTACGGCATTTCTTTGTCGTCACATAGCTTCATATTAATTTGACAGAATTAAAAATCCTTTTCCAGACGTGCAGTACATACATTACGGATCCAGGGGAACTCCGATTTTATATAGAAAACGAGAAAAAATTACGGAAGTACAGATTTCCTTATCTACTTTTATCCCAATATGGCGTCTCGAGTTGCTGTTAGCTCGTCACAAGATGTATTTCATATAATATAGAGATATACCCGTGGTACGAACGCGAAAACAAGTTCCCCTGACGTGCACAACAATAAAAACAACATAAACCCCCCAAATCAAGATTTGGAAGCGTAATATAAAAGTATACGGTCGATGTGTATCGTGCGTATCACAGTTGGAAAATTTGTGTTAAATATAACATAAATCACATGTCCAAAACAGTCCACTCAAATTTTTGTGTTACGTTAACATAATATGGATGTGTTAAATAGTAACATTGATACTATGTTAATATTTCAACAGAAAAAAAATGTACGTTTGATCGTACGTTGAAGTTACGTGTGTGTACAACGAACATAACTTTTATGTTGAAATTAACATATAAGAAATGTTCTTTTTACATTTTACAAATGTAACAACTCAAACTTTTGATTAGTATAATGTGTAAAAATTACACTATTTATTTAAAAGTTTATTTTTTAACAAAAGATTTATGTTAACATAACGTTTTATTTTTGTTAAATGTAAATATAAAAAAATGTTATGTTTACAAATATAAGTAGAAAGGGCTGTAAGGGTCACAACGCGGATTACGGTGCGTTCAGATATAAATGTGATTTATTCCTCGAATTACAAAATTCCAAACGTTTTGGCTCCTGTCCGAGCCATCCTCAGTGGTATAATATTAATATCAAAAATATATATTGTCCCTTAACATGGTGAGTTTACTGTTTCAATTTGACAGAAACTTAGTGAGACTAAAAGGTCCAAATCAGTTAGTCTGGAGAAAAAATACATCGCAGTCAAACCGAATAATAAGAAAATAAGGCAAAGAGAATAATCTGTGCAGAGCGATCTATAAGACGAGATCCCATCGACACGACGCACAACGAAAGACAGTCTTAATGAAACTTTTTTTCAAAACGTTGGCAAAAATTGAAATTTTAATATTTTTATTTGGTTCTAGTTCACACGATAGCCACACATCCACAGATTAAGAGAATTTTTTTTTTTTTTAGGATGAACTGGAGATTCGGAATCGTGGGTACCGTTTTTTTACACAGCTGTCGTTGGGGCGCTGTACAGCGGATTCTTGACCATATATCAACTTGGAAAAATTTCTAAATACTCTTCAAATATCAATAAATATGATGTAAAAGTTTCAAAAAAGTGTATTCTTATGATTCCTTACAAACAATTCCCCCCAAAAAACAGCCTCTTGACTAGACGACCCCCTTAACACTCTTTTTCTGTAAATTTTAACACATTTAATAAATACGTTCAAATTGTGTTACTTTAACATATTTTTTTTAATTATTTTAATAATTTTACATTTTATATTTGTTAAGTTCAATTTACATAGCAGACATATGTTAAATCTACACATGTATGTGTTGATTATTATTTAACACAAAAATTTTAACCAGCAGATTTTTTTCACAAAAATACAAAAATTTTCCAAATGTATGCGTGCAATGTTAGGTGCTATCCTTGTCAATACAAGGACAGATATAGGTCGATAACATAGAAAATGGTAATATTGTCGGTTATACAGACGGCTCCAGCATCACCTTAAAATATGAAGACAAATTTTACCAATATTTTAGAATGCCGCAATGCAAGTTTTTTGAATTATTAAAATTAATTGAGCCTATGTTACAAAAAGAAAATATGTCGTTTCGTGAGGCACGTTCACCGACAGAAAGACGCAGTTTGTTTAAGATAAACATTTTTTATTAAATTTACATTGTCTATGTATAATCTGTTTGTTCACCGAGATGTGGCATTGGAATTGACATATCGTAATATGATGGCAATGGAGTTGGAGTTGTTAAAGGTGAAGGAGATGCTGGTATAGTTGACATT